CCGTTCCGCCCTTGTCACCGCCCCTGCCACTTGTCCCCTCCTCCTCTACTCCTGTGGTCCCCGCACCCGTCATGCCGTCCGGAGTCACTCCTACCGCAGACGCCCGGCTGGACTCACTCGAGGCGAAAATCGATAGCCTAACTGAGGCCCTTGCTTTACTCACCAACCAGGCTTCTGCTGCCGCTGCCGCCGCTAATAATGCTGGCGGACCCCAAACACCTTTGCCGGAGACGTCGATTCCGTCTCCGACTCCGGTCCAGGGCGACTCCGAAGCCCTTTTCGGCAACATCAACCTCGCCTCAAAATTGGTCTTGCGACCAAACCCCCCGTTCACCTTCAACGGCGACCGGAAACGCGGCCGCGCGTTCCTTTCCGCAGTCCGCACCTACGCCCGCCTTGCCCCTGAGGCCTTCGTGGTCAACGGAGAGGCGAGCGAGGAAAAGGCTGTCCGCTATGCCATGTCGTTTATGGCAGAAGGACCCGCTCAGCAATGGGCGGAGCGCCACGGAAGCAAAGCCCCGTTTCCGTTTCCATCCTGGGGCTCGTTCGTTTCCGAGTTTCGACTCCGGTTCATCGAGGAGAACGAGCAAGATCACGCTCTCTCCAAGCTGGAGACTTCCGCCTATCACATGGGCACAAAGGATGTCTACCAGTACACCGACGACTTCGAGGACCTGATGGACCTCGCCGGATTCGAAGACGCGCTGGTCAAGGTGACCAAGTTCCGCCACGGACTTGACCCCTTGATCAACAACGGAATCACATCCTCGAACGACCCCCCGGACCTCCGGGATTACCTTAGCTGGCGCACCCGGGCCTTCTGTCAATACGAGGCCCTGGTCCGGGCCAAGCTGATCAAGTCAGCCGCCCCCAAGACGCCTGGCGGTTTGATTCAGACTCCGTTTCCGGTCAACCGCATCCCGGCTCCGGCCCCCTTCCGCCCGGTGGCTCCGGTCGTGCCACCCGCGGCCCGCGCCCCCGCTCCGGCGCCTCCAGCTCCCGTCCCTATGGAGTTGGACCACACCAGGGCTCGGGGTGCCCCTCGTCGCGCCTGCTTCAGGTGCGGCGACCCAAACCATGTCGCCCGGGATTGCCCCCTCCCCGCCGATGTCCGCTCGATGGACATCCTCGACGAGGTGATCCAACAACTCGGCGACGAGATGTTAGCGGAGTTGATCGCCCGCTACACGGACACAGCTGCCCTGCCGGAGACGGCAGCGGAGTCGATGGCCGGAGAGGATTTTGTCCCCCGCGACGAGTGACTGGTGTGCCCTCGTTCGCGTCTATAAATTGTTTTGCCTCTTTGTATGATGAATGCAGTTCCTTGCCCTACAATGAGCCCGAAACGAAAGATACACCCTCTCCTGCCCCGCCTCGACTCTGTCTCCGACTCCGCCTGCGACTCCGGTCATCGTCCTTCGCCGCCTCACTGCCTGCGAAAAGAAACTGCCCAAGCAGTACACTGTTGCCGCTGCCCCTGGGGCGAACTCCCTCCACCTCCCGTTGGAGCTTGAGTCCACCACTAGCGCGCTGAAGCTCTCACTCTCTGGGCTTGTCGACTGTGGTGCCACCTCCGACTTCATTGACACGAACTATGTTGCTCGGAATGGCATTCCGGTCCGCACCCTCGATCAGCCGATTCCGGTTTTCAATGTCGATGGCACCCCCAATGACGCTGGCTCCATCAAACAAATCGCGGACTTGGTCCTGCGCTACAAGGGCCATGCCGAACGAGTTCAACTGGCCGTCACCCATCTTGGCAAGCAAGACCTCATCCTGGGGTATTCCTGGTTGCGGAAACATAACCCAGAGATCAATTGGGAAACCAAGGAGGTCAAGATGACACGGTGCCCCCGCAATTGCTCGACCTGCCGTGAGGAAGAGCGCGTCGAACGGACCGAGCTGCGGCGACTCCGGTCGCTTCAGAAGCGTCACCGCTCCGGCCCGTTCCCCTCGGTTTGCACTATGGACCTCTCTGGCCCTGAGGACGGAGACGACTCCGATTCCGGTCTCGATTCCGACCTGCCTGATCTGACGCCGGACTCGGACTCGGATGACGAAGATGACCAGCTCGAAGATGGTGACCACATCTTCTACACCTCGTTCCGTCCCTCAGAGGAGATATGCGCAGGTAGCACCGTCTCACAGCGTCTGGCCGAAGCCTTCACCAAGAACTCCGCCCCACCGGCCTCCGAGATCCCGGACTGGGCTAAGGAGTTCCAGGACGTCTTCGACAAGGAGTCCTTCGACACGCTACCGGAGCGGAGAGCCTGGGACCACGCCATTGAGCTTGTCCCCGACGCTAAGCCCACCAACTGCAAGGTGTACCCCATCTCGCCCCTTGAGCAACGCGAGCTCGACGCATTCATCAAGGAAGGGCTTTCGACGGGCCGGATTCGCCCCTCCAAGTCTCCGATGGCGTCTCCGGTCTTCTTCGTCAAGAAGAAGGATGGCGGACTCCGCTTCGTCCAGGACTACCGGGCTCTCAACGCGATGACTGTCAAAAACCGGTACCCCCTTCCGCTGATCAACGACCTCATCAACCGGCTCAAAGGCGCTCGTTACTTCACCAAACTCGACGTCCGTTGGGGCTTCAACAACGTCCGGATCAAGGAAGGTGACGAGTGGAAAGCGGCTTTCCGGACTAACCGAGGCCTGTTCGAGCCCTTGGTGATGTATTTCGGCCTGACAAACTCTCCCGCGACGTTCCAAACGATGATGAATGACATTTTCCAGGACCTCATCCTCTCCGGAGACGTTATGATCTACCTTGACGACATCCTGATCGCCCATTCCGACCTCCGGAAACACCGGCAGATTGTCCAGGAGGTCTTACGGCGACTCCGGGAGCACAAGTTGTACTTTCGAGCGGAGAAGTGCGACTTTGAAAAATTGTCAATCGAGTACCTCGGAGTCATCATCTCCCACAACCACGTCAAAATGGACCCCGTCAAAGTCGCAGGCGTCTCCGCTTGGCCGACTCCGGAAAACAAGAAGGACATTCAGCAGTTCCTTGGGTTCGCTAATTTCTACCGCAGGTTCATTCGGGACTTCTCGACCCTTGCGCGCCCTCTTTTCGTGCTCACCAAGAAGGACCAGCAATGGACTTGGGGCGATGCGGAGGCCTCCGCGTTCCAAGCGATCAAGGACGCAGTCACCTCGGAACCGGTCCTGGCGATTCCGGACGACGCACGGCCTTTCCGACTCGAGGCGGACAGCTCTGATTATGCGACGGGGGCGGTTCTTTCACAATCCGCCCCGGACGGGAAGTGGCACCCTGTAGCATTCTATTCCAAAAGCTTAAATGATGTCCAGCGCAACTACGAAATCCACGACAAGGAGATGCTCGCGATCATCCGCGCACTCGAGGAGTATAGACACTTCCTCGAGGGCGCCGCGCACCCTGTCGAGATTTGGACTGACCATAAGAATTTGGAGTACTTCAGGAAGACGCAGCACCTCAACCGGAGACAGGCCCGGTGGTCTCTGTACCTCTCCCGGTTCGACTTCACGCTGCACCACAAGCCTGGCCGCGATATGGGTCGGCCTGACGCCCTCTCCCGGAGACCCGACCACGGAGTCGATTCCGACAACTCTGATGTCGTCCTTCTGCGGCCTGAACTCTTCCACGTCCGCGCACTCGAGGGCGTTTCCGTTTCCGGTCCCGGCTCTGAACTCCTCCGCGACATCCGTGATGCCCTTGACACCCTCGGAAAGCGCGCCCACTTCTCGGAGTGTCATACGACGGTCGATGCAGTAGGGGCAGCCCGCCTCTACTACCGGAATGTCTGGCGGCACCATGGGACTCCAGAGAAGTACGTCTCCGACCGCGGCTCGCAGTTCATCGCGGACTTCACCCGAGAACTTTGGCGTCTAATCGGCATCAAGCCCGCCACGTCCACCGCGTACCACCCGCAGACAGACGGTCAGACAGAGCGCGTCAACCAGGAGCTGGAGCAGTACTTGCGGATCTTCACCAACTACCAGCAGGACGACTGGGATGAGCTGATTCCGGCCGCGGAGTTCGCCTACAACAACCACGTTCACTCCTACGACCGGAGACGCACTCCGTCTCCGGAGTTTAAGGTTGGCGACCATGTTTGGCTGGATGCCTCTGACATCAGGACGACTCGCCCCTCGGAAAAGTTCTCCCATCGCCGCCTCGGACCGTTCAAGATAGTCGCGGAGATCAGCAAAGGTGCCTACAAGCTCGACCTCCCTCCGCGCTACTCGAAGCTCCACCCGGTCTTCCCCGTCGTCAAGCTCGAGCTCGCCCAGGACGACCCCTTCAACGGACGCCCCGGCTACGACCAGCCCCCTCCGGACCTCGAGGACGGAGTCCCGGAGTGGGAAGTAGAGGAAATCCTGGACGCAAGGGTGAGGTATAAACGGCTGAACTACTTCGTCAGATGGAAAGGCTACGACGCATCGCACGACCAGTGGGTCCGCTTCGACCGCGTCTTCGCCCCGGAGAAAATTGCGGAGTTCTATCGTAAGTACCCTGGCAAGCCACGACACATCGCCTCCGCGACCTTCGACTCGATTCCGTTCCGGTCTATGCGTCGAGACGCCGCATTCAAAGGGGGGGGTGATGTCAGGGGAACCTCCCTTTCGGCCCGGAGACGCGCCCGATTCCGGTCCGATTCCGGTTCCGACTCCGGTCCGGCCCTCTATCTCGCCCGCACAATCACCGATCCGTCAACGCCCTCCCGACGGTCGCCCTGGGACCTTGCCTGCGACGCCGCCCAAGCCTTCTGTGCCCGACAGCGGCAGCTACGGACAAGCAGTATATAGTCAGCTACCTAGCAGGCGGACCCTCAGAGTTTCTTCTCTTTGGATCCTCCCCTGCTAGGTCAGCTTCATTTGTATTTGCTTACCAATGTTCACGCTTTGGATCCTCCCCTGCTAGGACCTTGATCTCAGGCCTCCGGGGTTGCCCTTACAATATATAGAGAGAGCTACCGGACGATAACCAATCCTTCCCTGCTACCTTGCTTCGCATGGCGCACTGGCACGAGCGCGCCGCGACAGACGCGACAATGGTAGCCAGCACACCTTCTGAATCAACCATCTCCTCCCAGTCGCCTCTCGATCCAACGCTCCCCATCCAGAGCGCCACGCAAAATCCCTTCCTGGACACCAGTGACCTACACAAACCCGACGAGCCTACCAGTGGACTGTTCTTCGCTGGACACCTTGACGCCGTTATTCCCCCAACCCACTGTTAAAGATACCCCGCTTCCTTGCTGGCTTACGCGAGAGCTGACCCGTAATAGTCGTAGTTTGTACCTCCTAGTAGTACAGAGGCAAACCGTAAAGAGTCGTTACCCGTTACCCCCCATCATCTATCCTGACGACCGGTCGGGCATCCCGGCGCCGATCTGTCGCATCAGCATCAGCCACGTGCCTCGTCGCACGCCAAGCCGCCAATCGCTAACACACCCCCTCGTGCGAGAGGCACCCAGAACCAGTCCCCTCCAACGAGCTCCTTCCATCCAACCCGTCCCGCCAGCCCGATCCGACCGACGACACGTAAGTCCGCATGCCCTGCCCCGAGACCTAATCCAGCCTCCGGCGTTCCGTCCGCTCAGCCAGAAATCCCTCCAGCCAAGTCGTTCACCCCTGGTCCGACGCACAGCCTATCCCCGCCCCGCGCCCAGCCCAAGGTCTGCCCACAGCCAGTCCCATGCAAGTCGATGCGCTGACCATCTGCGTAATCAAGTCCCAAGCCAATATCCGATCGACCTGTATCTTGTCCGCCGAGCAACACTCCGACACATTGACCCCAGCCCAAATCCGGCCAACGTCATTCCCAGTGCCCCTGTGAATCCCCAGCCTGCCACGCACCCCCTGAAGCCCAGCCCATTCTTCCCAGCACCAATCCGCGCTGACAGTTAGAGCCCATGCTCCGGGATAACGCCCCGTGCCCCTACAACTTCGCCCAGCACCCAGTCCTGACCCCCAGTCGTTGCCCGCGCAGGGGACGCCACCCTTCTGCGACTTATCGCCTGCCGTGTACCAATCCGTACCGGCTCTGACCCAGTTTCCAGCCAGTTGATGCTTATTGTTGTCCAGCACGTGCTACCAGGCTTGTACTCCCAGTAAACCCAGCCAAAAGCGCTGCCAGGTGAATGTCCAGTGCCTAGACCTGCACCAGAACTCCTGGCAACCGGTCGGGCATCCCGGCGCCGATCTGTCACATCAGCATCAGCCACGTGCCTCGTCGCACGCCAAGCTGCCAATCGCTAACACCCACTCCCACTGCACACTTGTCCTCTGTTTCGACGGCACCGGCGACGAATTCGGTGCGGACAACTCCAACATCGTGCAGTTCTGCTCGCTCCTGCCCAAAGCGAACCGCACGAAGCAGCTTGTGTATTACCAGGCGGGCATCAGCACCTACTTCACGCCTGAGATCGCCAGCCCCGTGCGGCACCTCTTCTCCAAGCTGGCCGATGAACATCTCGATCGGCATGTCAAGGACGGATACGAGTTTCTCATGCAGAACTGTGCGCTATCTCAAGTTGCCGGTCTGCGGTGCACTTATTTCTTTCCAGATATCGAGGGCGACAGCATCTGCATCTTTGGCTTCTCCCGCGGGGCTTATATCGCACGAAGGTGAGTTTTGTCGGTTAGATGAGGCATGCTCACGCATTGATTGCACTCAACAGTCTTGCGGGAATGCTCCACAAGGTCGGCCTTCTGCCGGTGTCGAACTATGAGCAGGTACCATTCGCCTATAAAATGTACAAGCACAGAGATCGGCTTGGGTGGAAGCAGTCCAACACCTTCAAGAGAGTGAGTTCTTGCAAGTCACAGCGCCAGGCAATGCATCGCTGATCCAAAGTTCAAAGACATTTTCAAGCGATGTTAGTATCAGGTTCCTTGGAGTCTGGGATACAGTGGCCTCTGTCGGACTGATTCCCCACACATTACCGTTCACGACATCTAACACCATTGTGAAAACCTTCCGCCATGCGATGGCACTGGACGAGCGGCGAGTCAAGTTCAAGGTCCGTGAGATCTAATCGGTCATTGCCCTCTGAATATACTGTACTACAGGTCAATATGTGGAACAGGCCCACAACCGACGAAGTGCGCATCGGCAGTGAATTTGTGCCGAACTCGGGTGCGGAACCGCTTGCTGGCAGCCACCAGCACTATCAGATGGATGTCAAGGGAGTGTGGTTCGCCGGATGTCACTGCGGTATGTCTTTTTCTTCTGCATCTGCTTGACTGTCCATTGACCAAGGAAACAGACGTCGGCGGCGGCTCCGTCGCCAACGAAACGGTGCACAACCTTGCGCGCATTCCTTTGCGGTGGATGATCCGTGAGTGCTTCGAGGCAGACAGCGGGGTAATGTTTTACCGTGACCGGCTCCGCTCTGTTGGACTCGACCCCAGCTCGCTTTTCCCAATGGTCAAGCCCCGCCCGCCGGGCGCTGTGCCTGCCACCGAATGCACGTGTGGCTCGACACGCGCACCGCCGCACAGCCGATGCACAAGGCCATCTTAGAGGACCCCATACTCGGCAAACCAGAGGAAGAGCACGACCTCGTCGACGCCCTCGCGCCCGTATACGACCAGCTTTCACTGCACTGGTTTTGGTGGATCTTGGAGATAATCCCTTGGCGCCAGCGCTACCAGCGCAACCGCGGCACGTGGGTCACGGTCTTCAGGGCCAACTGGGGCCGCGCCCGCGTTATCCCGGATGCCGGGCAGGATGGGGTCCAGGTGCACCGCAGCATCAAGAAGCGCATGGAGGCGGAAGGCATCAATGGCAAGCCGTATCACCCTCGCGCAGTGGTTCATTGGCAGCACACCACTTGGGTTGATTAAGTAAACATAATCTGGATCAGCAAGTTGGTGCAATTTACGCAACTGAAGACGTGGCCGAACTCGTAGGGAACGTCAGATAAATGTTTGCTCGAACGATGTGGCTCTCCAATATTGCTCCAGGGGGGAATGTCGAAACAGTCAGAGAAGTTAATCAATCATCGGGTAATATAGCCGTGCGCCACGATCAAAAAAACGTCAAACAACCCTTGGTAACGACTCCCATCTTCAGCTCTTGAAAACTGACGCCGTTGGCGGTGTGGATGGCCAACGCAGACAGGCGTCGATGGGCCTATGCTTGCAACGTTCACAGTCGCCTGACTACTATCCGCCACGCCGCTCTCTCATGGATGGACTTTCGCGGCACACTGACTGTGTCCTCAAACTGGAAAACAGGCAATATCGCACTGTCCCACCCTGTGCACCTTCAGACATATGAGAGTCGATTGAAACTTGGTACAAACAAGAAGCATTTACACAAGAACGCTGAACGCAGGCGAAACACTGTTGAAGTTGAAGTCATATCCGCTTACCATACTTGCACATGACCGCTTGGTAATAACCAATGCGCTTGGTAAGGACTGAATACTCGCTCAGTCATCCTCTACCTTTACTTACTCATCATACTTATAAATCGTAGTCAATGTAGTGTAGTCAGCATAGCTAGCCTGAGTATATATACTGAGTAGTCTAGCTCGTCGTCTCTCCAGTCCTGTTGTTATTCACACAGTTCTGGTGAGTTACTTACATGCTTTCCTCTATCTTACATATGCTTATGACTCTATGTAGATATCGTCTTGTCAGGTATATACTCAAACCAGTCCTGTTGTTATTCACACAGTTCTGATATCGTCTTGTCAGGTTATGGGCCCCGCCCCTTCTCCTGCATAAGGCAAGTCCTTCTTGCTCGGATCGGTGCTGCCTCTATTGTACTGTCCTTTATTGGACATGGCATGGCACTTTGTGTCAAGGCTAGTGTTGCCCCTTTACCTACACAAAGCCCCCTCTTTTTACCTATTATTTCTTAACCTAGTATTGCCATTGCCGGCCCTGCTCTCACTTCAGGTTCAAGCGCATAGCCAGTCCTTCCCCAGTGGGGTAAATTCATAACAGCAATATGACGGTTCAACACCGATCATTCTGGCTAGCGACCAGGCCCTGTCAGTGCATGTCAAACTCGATCAGACCTCTGCATAGAAGGGATTGTTGGGGACATCTCCTTAGGGAGTTGCGAGGCTGTGAGATGCTGTCCTGAACAGAAAAGGGTGGACCTCTGTCCTCGTGTGGCAGATGTGTCAAAAGGGAATGATTGCCCATTGTGGTCGTCATAAACACCCTTCGGCGGCATATACTATACTTAGATAATTACGTAGTCCTTGGGACAAGCCACCTAAAACAGTTCTTGGACGAACTGGACCATGTGGGCAACACAACTGCGTACATGGGGCATCTGGGTCCCTTGGATAGATAGACTTTATCTTTCTTCTGGGGCATTACATATTTGGGGCACACTATGCTAGGCCTTTAGTACTTGGCACTCTGTTGACTGTAGGGTCACAGAGCACTATCCACCTCTCTCTATTGTTTACAACCGATCTGACTTCCTTTGAAGTATCAGATTAAACTGGATCCATCGTCTACACCAATTCTTTACTGGTACCCCGGTGATTACGACGAAGAACACTCTTACTACAACTCTTTGAACACCAGTGGAGGATATAACTCTGCTGAGCTTTACGCTGTAGGAGACCACGAAAATCCAGATTTCGACGATTACGCCGAAAATTACTCTCCTGAACTTCATCGACTCTTTGGTACTCCTTACTATCCAATCCCACCAACTCTCCAGGAACTAGTTGCACTAGAAATGTCGCTTACTGGTACTGTTTCAACTGTCATCCCAAAGTTGGATGGCACCAATTATCAGGTCTGGGAGGAGAGTATTTCGAACCTCCTTATGATCCAGAAAGTGTGGGGGCATACTGAAGGAACCATTCATCGCCCTGCAGATGACCAGGTAGAAGCCCTAGCCAAATGGGACGAAGCCAATTGGGTCGCTGTTGGTCTCATGAAGGCCCATATGACCAATACCTTGCAGAGAGAATACGGCTCCAAGGTCAGCGGCACTACCAAGGTCAAGCGAAATGCCAAGGAGCTTTGAGATGCTCTAGCAGAAGCTTTTAGCAAAACAGCTGCAGTAGAAGGCTTTTTGCATTGGAAGCTGCTCAACTCCTACAAGTTTGTTGCGGGGGAGACTCTGGAGAAGCAAATCGACCAGATGGACACCCTTCGTAACTCTGCTATCACTGCTGGCATGGAGGTCACTGATACCCAGTATTCTCTTATGCTTTTGTCGGCACTCCCTGCTTCTGAAGGCTGGGTAACTTCCTACCTTGCTAACACTGCAGCCGACAAGCTCAAGCCTGGTGTGGTCAAGCAGACGATCTTGACCACAGTCAAATTCAACACTTCCCAGGGCGAAGGATCAGCCCATAATATTTCCACAGTCACTCGTCTTCCTGGCAAGAAGAAGTGTGAAACTTGTGGGGGTAATCATCCTTCGAACCAATGCTGGGTCAAGTACCCTGAGAAGCGCCCTAAGCATCATAAGGGCAAAGGCAAGGGTAAAGGCAAGGGCAAAGGAAAGGCCAATGGGGGTAGTTCAAATGTAAACAATGCTGTTGCTTCTGGTTCCGGTACCAATACACCTGTTTTCTCTGCTTATATCAGAGTGAGCGCAAGTGAAGCAGTAGCAAACCACGATCATATTGATGATCTTGTGGCTATATCAGAGAGAGGTTTCCTTCAGGATTCTGGATGTACGAACAATGTGTCTAGTTATCCTGAGGATTTTTACGAGAGGCGTGGGGACTTCCTTAGGCCTTATGTCGGAAACCAAAGCAGGGACGGAAATTGCTCCATAGCCATTCGATGGCCCGCCCCCGCGCAATACTGCGTCTAGACTCCGATCCGAATTCCATCAAACTCGGCTGATCGTCGTCCTCCGCAATGCCAAGATATCTTGGCAAGCCCCATGCTGATGAGGATAAGGCCCGTACACTGCCGAGTTTGACTTAGGCAAAGTTCAGGCCATGTCGGAGTCATCGCTCAGGTTGGCCGGCCCCGGTGAGAGCAGTTTACGGCGCCGGCCGGCCCCCGCCAAGCGCCTTCACCCCGGTCGACATGTGCGGCAAACAGCAGTGCAGCTGCAATGTTAGCATTGGCACCTGCCGCCACCTACAGCCCCACCTGGCCTCTGAAAAACCTTAGGACAGCAACCATACAGTGCTAGTAGTTGGCGCGCCGACCGGAGTGCTTCGCGGACCGGCCGGTGAGGCCGGCGGTGTGGAGTCGTGGACTCGGCCACCCGCCCTGTGTCACGACTGACGGAGGAGGGCTGTTGAGGGATTTCAGGCGCTCAAAAGACCTAGGAATAGGCATAAGACTTTGGGACTTGGGGTTATATGGAAGCCCACGCCCGTTTGTCGGGCGTGCCAAGGGGGACAAACGGGCGTGCCAAGCCGACCAATGGGCGTGGCACGCCTGATGGATGGGCGTGGGCTTTGATCGCCCGCCAAAACCCACGCCCACGCCCATCCACGCCCGTTGGCGCAAGCCCACGCCCATCGGGCACGCCCGAAAGTGAGCTCTCTGCGTCTGCTGAGTACCCGCTGTGGGGCGGGTTCTGCCGCTACTCGCCGGCGGGCGCGGGGCTCGCGCTGGGGTGGGCGGTCGCGTGGGAGAACGCGGAGCACGGGGACGCGCATTCGGCGAGCACGTGGGCGGGGCAGGCGTTCTTCGGGGCAAGGCCGGAGGACGATGTGATCACGACGCGGTGGCTCCTGGGGGTGAGCACGGCGCCGGAGAAGATCTGGGCGGCCACGATGCTGGGCGGGGATGTCTTCACCCGGGCTCGCCCCACGCCTGTGCGCTCGGCGGCCAGGGCAGCGGCTGCAGGTTCGCATCCCTCAATCGAGCAAATTATCAAGAAGGGCGAGGCGGTTGCGCAGTTGTAGGCTCCGTATAACAATTTAACTGGGCTATTTTACTCTTTTCACGTGCTTGATGTCTCTCACATGTACACTCAAAAAACCTGTGACAAAGCTCTGAGATCAGCCCGGATCATACCGGCATAAGAGTACCAGGTGTCTACGCTGAGCTGGGACTCGGAAGCAGCACATTGCTCCCTCCAATACTGCCAACGACAGCAGATGCCAGTGCCACCGCAGCTGCAGATGCAGACGCAGTAGCTGCACTCGCGGTCGCCGCCCCTGGGCCAGCGACGAGCGTCGCATGTATCTTCCGAACGAGCAGCACCAGGATCCAGTATCCGAAAGTCGCGAATATGTGATCTGCACCAGCACCTCGACCGGCCCGGGGGGCGGCGGGGGGCGGCCGTCGGGCAGCGACTCGGACTCGGGCTGTAGGATGCTGGAATCGGCACCCGGGCCGGAGTTGTCGGCGAGGGTCTCCGTGTCCGAGGCCGCATCGGCGTCGGCGTCGGCGTCGGCGCCTTCGGCCGACGGGCTGGCCGTGGGCTCGGGCCCTGCGGCTGGCGGCGCGGGCTTCTCGGGGAGAAACACCAATGTATGCGTAGCGATCGCTGCACCAGGAAAAAGTCTCAGCACAGGTCCCGGCCGCGGTCGCAACGTGCATGTACGCACCGCAGAGCATCTCGAGAAAGCCGAACGCGAGGATGATCCACTTGACGACGTCCTGCTGCGGGTCAAGGCCGGTGGCGATCGCGAGGAGCGCGAGGCGCAGCCAGAGGAGCGCGAGGCAGAGCCCGAGCACGTGGGCCGGGCGGCGGCGGCGGCCCCAGGCGCGGGGGCCGCGGGCTGGGGCTAGCAGAGCGGGGACGAGCAGGTAGAGCGCGAGGAGGCCCGACAGCAGCGCCTGCGCGGCGCCCATGTAGGAGAGCACGTGCGCGGGCGGGTTCAGCAGCGCGAAGACGGCAAGCGTCGGGAGGACCCCGAAGAGCACGGACACGGTCCGAAGACCGCGAGTCGAAGAGGGAGAGGGACGGGACCGGCGGCCCGGCCCGGGGGCCACCGTGGCGTCCGAGTCGGCGGCGGCGGCGCCGAAGCCCTTGAGCGCGCCGTCCGCGTCTGGGTCCCAGGTCGGAAGGAGGGTGTGTGGGTAGGTGGGCATCGGGAAAGATCGTTGCAGCGGTGATGAATTTCATCATCGGCTTTTAAGGTCGGAGTGACCCCTTGATCGCCAAGATCCAGGCCGCCCCTGAGGCCCTGCGCCGGTGCCGTGTTGATCCCACATGCCCAGCCCGGCGCGATCAGGTGTGTACACGACGCGCCGATCCTTGCCCGGGCCGGGGAAGTATTGTGCACTCCATACCGTCGTGGCGTGCGGCGTGCGCTCCAGATGCCGCTGACGCCGGACGGTGGTGAAGTCGAGGCTCCTGTTGGGTTGAGGACGGACGGTCACCGAAGCTCTGGCTAGGGCGGAGCTCAGCCAAGGAACAATCATGGTGCGTGCGTGTCACACACCTATGCCAAGTTGACCTTGCTCACACCGCTGTTTGCCGCATCGATCGTCCTGTGGGGTGGGCATGACGAGCGGCCATGAGAGCTGGAGGAAAGGAACGATGATCGCTGTCACCGTGACGTGGCAGCACGTGTGCCGTTGATACGCGATCGCCGATCACCTTGGTTGCTTCTTACCACCACCTACTCACGCCGGCGGTCCGACTTCAGTCACATCGCACTGTGCTGGAGCGAGGCTCCCTGTATCGGTCATGCCTCGACAGACACACACCCTGGGGTGCTTACTAGACGACATCCATCATCGACGGTGTTCAAGTTGCGAGCTGTTTTCCGCCGCAGGCCTAAACCCTTCCCGGGGAATCCCAGCTTTTTTTCGTTCATACAGCTTCTGTTGGACAGGGACACGATAGGTGGCCGTTGCGCGGGGGATAAAAGGGCCGGGTGCGCGTGTTCACGGTGGGCTGTCTTCTGGGCGAGCCCGTAATGCCAGTGGTTTCAGTTCCAGAGAGGTAGGTCACCTGCGCCTGCCGCCCGTCGTCCCAGTCATCCTCCTCGAACGGCCCGCAGCATCCACACCTGCGCTGCAGGCCGTGCGCGGGCTTGCTGGTCCGCGACTACTGCAGCGTTAGTACGGCGGCCTTCCGCGCCAGCTCCGCGGCACCCAGCTGGCACGCGACGACGAGTATCTGGACCGTGTGCCCGTCGAGCTGGCCCAGCTCCTCGAGGACGGCCAGCAGCGTCTCCTTTCCCGCGGTGACGTCGTATTTCTAGCTGTCCCGGAAGTGCGCCAGGAAGACCTGCTCGGCGGTCATCAGCGGGTAGTACGCGCCCACTGCCGGGCGCTTGTCCGGGGGCCCGGCGGCTGCCGCGGGTACAGCAGGAGGAGCACCGTGCGCAGGACGGCCTCTTTCTCCGGCAGCAAGACGAGCGGGAGGCCGCCCTTCGTGGGGTTCGCCCCCGGCCCCGTCGGGGACGGGAACGCGAACATGTGCCGGAAGAACGGCGAGCCAAACGCGAGGATGCGCTGGTGCGCGTAGAAGTCGACGCTGTCGCCCGATCGGATGACGACGTCCGCGGGGTTGTCCTCGTGCGAGTCGGGCGCGAAGGGCGGCGCGGCGTTGACGACGGTGTCCCCGCGGGGGCCCGCGTAGGAGTGCCAGGGAGGGGAGCCGGGCGGTCGTCGCGGAGGCGAAGGCTAGCGCAAGTGCCATGGTGGTGGTGAAAGAAAGAAAGAAAAGTGGCACAGCCGCAGGAATGTCATCTCAATCACGTCATCCATCGATGACACGTGTCATGCCACACTTTTACTCCTGACCACCACATGCGCCTCCCGCGGGGCCAGCGCGGTCCTGTGTCCAGCGCTCTTCGCCAGCGTCAGCGACCCCGGGGCCACTCGGCCTCACGGCTTGCTCACTGTCTACACTGGCACGGTAGTATCGAGTCGACCCGAGCAGTGGGACAGGTCACTTTAGTCTTTCCCACGCTTCCGAGTCTCAGGCTGACATTCCCCGGCCGGGCGTATACGTACGCGTCTCGCTGGTATGCGACCTCCTCCTCGGCACGTGCTCATGGACGTGCACAACACCCCCTCTACGGCTCACTCGTCAACGCGCAGTCCACCGGCGTCTTCCAGGTCGGCCCGGGGGGAGAAGAAACGTTCTGTCGCCACCGGCTGCCCGGGCCGGCGGATGATGGGGCACTGTCTGAACTATACAGTATCCGCCAGATGGTGCTGTGTCGCGGCTGCGTCGCCTCCAGGAGGTGCCAGTGGTGGACCCGTGTACCGAGCATGCGGTGGAGTCGAGGACGTGTCGGGACTGGACGATGATGTTTGAGAGTATCACGACGGTATCCTGGGTGAGTCATGCTGCAATCCATGTTCTCACTGTGAAACTATAAAAGCTTGACGTCGACATGTTTGCTTTCGCGCCAGCCTGAGCAACACACCGAAACCATAAATAGCATAGACACTCCGTGGGTCATGCTGCCAGGCATCACTTGACTTCCCGCTTCTTTCTCGTCACCGTCGGTATCTTGCAACGCCGGAAGACATGGAAGGCTGATGATCTCTGAGCAGCCTGCCTGCTTGTGTTCTGCGCTATTGGACTGCCAGCTAGTGGTTGTAAGGCCGCATCAACTCCACCGCTGGCTTCCTAGTCGCCGTCTGCAGTGTGTTCTCCATGCCGTCCCGCTGTCATGCCCACAGCCCTGCGCAACTCTCTCGCTCCGGGCGACATGGCCTCGCAGCTTATAAAAGCAACAGGGAGACAAGCGCACTCTACAGCAGCACGCTACAGCACTCTACAACACACTACAATCTTGACTACAATGAGCTTCAACGACCTCAACGGCGTCTGGCGCACCACGGACCCCGGCGCGGCGGGCGACTACAACTACGTCCTAGAGCTTTCCGCGGGGACGGACGGCGCGCTGTCGGGGTACATGCGCGCTCCGCAGGCGCTATTTTACCTGCGCGGCCGGATTGATCCGGAGCCGCGCCCGGCGGCCCGGCCCGACGGCGGCATCGCGTTCGGGTGGACCGTCTCGCGCCGGGCCGAGCAGGTCGTCGCGGAGTCCACGACGGGGTTCGCCGCGCAGTATTTCCCTGAGGCAGACCGCATCGTCGCGCAGTGGATTATCGCGGAGAGCACCACGCCCGCGGAGACGTGGAACAGCGCCAACGTCGGCAGCGTCGTGTACACCCGGTCCCGCGGGGGTCAACTCGAGGAGCCGATTGGCAGTCCGGAGCCGGAGGCACAAGGTGTGACGTGCCACGTCACAGGCCGAGGTGTTTACTGATTCAGACTTCAAACAGCAGCGGCCGCATATGACTACACGCGGCTGACGGGCACATGGTACAACGAGCTCGGGTCCTGCGTCGAGCTCGCCGCGGACCGCCTGTTCGGCCTCTCGGGCAAATACAACTCGAGCGTGGGCGAGGCGGCCTCGGAGTACTTCCTCGGCGGGACGTTCGACCGCGCGCTGGCCGCCGGCGCCGACGGGGGCAGCGGCAAGGGCGTGACGCTCGGGTGGAGCGTCGGGTGGAACAACGCGGCGAACGGGGACAGCCACTCCGCGAGCACGTGGGCGGGGCAGGTGTTCTTCGGCGGGGACCCGGCGGGGGACGTCATCACGACGCAGTGGCTCCTCACCGTGAGCACCGCTTCCACGCGCGTCTGGGCGTCCACCAATGCGGGCGCGGACGTCTTCCGCCGGACGCAGCCGGATGCGGCAACCGTGGCCCGGGTCAAGGCGGCCGGCTTCGGCGCGGCGCATCCGAGCGTCAGCGAGATCGTCGCGAGAGGCGAGAAGTATGCCAAGTAGCTTTCTTTTTTCGAATATGTAGTCGACGCAGACACGATTGCAGCAGTATGATGCACCATCCATTGAATGTAAAACCCGAAGCAAAGATTCTTTCATTCAGACCACACATAGTTCCTTACTTATTCTGGGTCGGAAAGAGAAGCGGTACGGGGCTCCGAGTCTCTGTGCAGGTTCCAGATGTAGATTGGATTGGTAATGGATAAGATCATTTGGTTGTGGCATTACACTTACATATTCGCGATCGCCTCGCCCTTCTCGACAATCTTGTCGATGCTAGGGTGTGCGAGCACGCTGACCCTAGGCACCGTCGCCGCCAACGCAGCCTTGGGCGCGCCGCGGGTAAACACGTCTCCGCCGAGCATCGTCGCCGCCCAGATCTTCTCCGGCGCCGTGCTCACGCCGAGCAGCCACTGCGTCGTGATGACATCATCCTCCGGCGTCGGGCCGAGGAACAGCTGGCCCACCCACGTGCTCGCTGAGTACGAGTCCCCGTGCGCGGCGTTGTTCCACCCAACGGCCCACCCGAACGACAGGCCCATGCCCTCGGCAACCGGCGCGGACACGTCGAACCGGCCGCGCAGCTCGTACGCCGCAGAGGCATCGCCCTTTTTCGAGTTATACAGGCCGACGAGTGAGCCTTGGGGCCACGCCGAGAGCAGCATCCACGAGCCGAGCTCGTTGTACCACGTGCCCTTCAACCGGGTGTAGTCCAGCGCCGCGGCCGCGGTCTCCGGATCCGATGCCTCCGGATCCGACCTCAGCATCTCGGCCGGGACGTCGGTCACGTGCTGCTCCTCCGTCTGCGCGGCCTCCTGCTTACTCAGCCCTGTGCGGCCACGTGTGTACACGACGCTGCCGACGTTCGCACTCCCCCACGCCTCTCCGGGCGTCGTGCTCGCGACGACGACCCACTGCGCGACGATGCGCTGTGTGCTGGGGAAGTACAGCGCGTTCCACATGGTCGTCGAGTGCTCGAGCCCCGTCTCCACGCGCGGCGCGAGCACCCACCCGAGCGCGTACCCGGCGTCCGGCCCGGCGCTGGGCCGCACCCCCGGGTCGATGCGGCCCTGCAGCGTGATGGCGGTCTCGACGTGTGTGTTTGGGGAGACGGCGGTCATGGACCCCGTGAGGCTGCAGCTTTGCAGGGCGTTGAGGACCAGCGTGTAGTCCGCGCCGCCGGCCGTGTCGGGGTTGGGGGCGGTCCAGGTGCCGCTGACGGTGGTGTAGTCGAGGCTCATTGCGTGGTGGGGACTTGGCAAGGGTCAGACGGTGTTTATGAGGCATTTATAGTAGGGTGGTTGTTTTTAGATGAGGGGCTGGGCAGATGACAGGTCGACGGCATATCGAATGGTGTAGAAACACATCTGCCAGTTTCCCTCCGGGTTAACTTAATCACGAGAATTCATTGCGAGAAAAGGCAAATTCTTTCTTGGCTCGTGTTGACGCCGGGCAACATCGAGTGTAAGATAAGAGCCGGTCCAAGCCTGCGCAGACGATGCTCACAGAGCACATCATCGCGTTCGCGCCCTGTCTTCTATGCGAAAATCGGCTCTACGTACCCTGCGTCAGCATCAAATCATCAACACTACAAAGGACGCACGACAAATGTGGGACCCCGGCGGCGGTGTGCCATCTAGCGGTGCGTCAGGCTCGGTGGTCTACACAGCAATCGGGTGGTACGGACTCGGCAGACATACGGGCCCCCCGGGGGCGCGGGGGCCGTGCCCATGGGGCGGCACGGCGTGTGGTGGGCGAGGAGCCGGAGCCGGGGCAGCGGAGGCGGCCAGCGCGTAGAGAACGATCGGAAGTGTGAGGCGGAGAGGAAGATGCATGGCAGGGGTTTTGGGGAATAAGATATCTGATGAGTGGTGGGGGTAAGCCTGGAGCGCATCTCGAAGTTTTATAGCTTGGGAAGGTTGTATTGGTGGGAGAAAGCCTCCGGGAGTCTGAGCGAGCGCAGTCAGCGGTATTCAGGGACGCGTAGTCTTTGCACAGGGCTTCAGGGATCGGGAATTGCCAGATGACGAGCCTGAGTATTTAGGTTATTATCGGGAGTATGTGGGCACCGTTTACACTGTCTTGAGCTTGAAATTGCGCTGGGTAACCAGCCTGGGTCGTTAAGATCATTGTGCAACTGAAACAAGCTGCCCCGGCCACTAGCAAGTCTGGTCGAGTCTGTTGATCCCTTCGGTATTTTGTGCAGACGCAGGGCCGCAGCGTAGGGCTAGTGGCAGTGGAAAACCTCTTGTGCGGATGTGACATGGTGGTCAAGAAGGAAGAAGCGTAAGCGAGATCGCCGATCAGTGGGCACACGTGCTGCCACGTCACAGTGACACGCATCTTTGTCTCCCCCACCCTCCCCCGCATACGAATGGCCTGCTGGGGACCCGCGTGTGTGCTTTGTCGTTTTTTCCGTTTATAGAGCTTCTCTTGAACTAGGCCATGATGCGTGGCCATTGCGCGGGGGATAAGAGGACCGGTGAGCTAAGTATTTTCCGCTGCAGCTTGCAGGCTAAACTCTTCTCAGTTGGTGCTTTGTTTCTATGGACTCGGGACTTGCTCAGGACTCAGAGGTTCTTGGTTCGCCATCCATTCTTAGTGGTTCGCTAAACCACTTTCAGTTGCTCTTCAAAGTCATTCTCAATCGCCCAGCCATCGCAAGAATGCAGACCACACACATTCGTCAATCATGATATTGGCTCGCCGCGAGCTTCCCCCGCCTTCCCATTCTTCATGTCGTCGCGCTGTCATCGACACAGCCTTGCCCTCAATCCTCCCCCGGTCGCGACAAAAATACCTTGCGAACCATGAGCTTATAAGCCGCCCCCACCCCGGATCCATCCAGCAAACTGCAAACACCAACCCTCAATGAACCAACAGCAATCCGACTACACCAGCCTCCCAGGCGTCTGGACGGCCGTCGTGCCGTCGACGTTCGGCGCCGTCGACTACACGCTCCATCTGAGCATCATCAGCTACGTCGTCACGGGGTTCATGGTCGGCACCGTCCCGGGCACCACCAACAAGATCTCGCTGTCGCTCATCGGGCTGATCGACCCGAAGCCGCGGCCGAGCGCCGGGACGGAGGCCGGGTACGCCGTCGCGTGGACGGTGGGCGGCCGCGCGGAGAAGGGGCGCGAGCACGCGACGACGTCGTGGAGCGCGCAGTACTTCCCCGGGCTGCGGCCCGGCGGCAGCGCGCAGGACCGCCTCGTCGCGCAGTGGGTCGTCGCGGCGAGCACGGAGCCGGCGGACGCGTGGGAGAGCCCGAATGTCGGCGCCGTGGAGTACAAGCGCGACCGGGCCGGGGACGCCGCGGAGCCGGCCCCTGGCACCGGCGAGGCCGTGCAGAATAACCGGCTCAACGGCCGGTGGTACAACGAGCTCGGGTCGTACATGGAGCTGCACGTGGCGCTGGAGGACGTGCTGGAGGGAAAGTACAACTCGAGGGTGGGCGATGCGTATGCGGAGTATGACCTCCGGGGCGGGTTCGACCGGTACCCGCCCACAGGCGAGGGCGCGTCGCTTGGCTGGGCGGTTGCGTGGAACAACGTCAAGCATGGGGACACGCACTCGGCGAGCACGTGGGCCGGCCAGTTGTTCTTGGGCGACAAGCCAGATGAAGATGTTATCGCGACGCAGTGGCTGTTGGGAGTTAGCACGGCCCCGGAGAAGCTCTGGGCGGCGACAATGCTTGGTCTTCACGCGGGCCCCGCCCGGGCCGACGACCAGCTGGAAGGCCGTGGCCGCGAAGGGTGCGCATCCCAGTGTCGAGCAGATTACCAAGAAGGCCGAGAAGGTTGCTCAGTTTGCAGAGGTGTAGTCCGAGTTTGTAATATGCAATTGATCATGAGCCATGGCCAATTTTTCTCTGGAGACAGGGTCAGTATACGGTAGCTATCAATAAACACAAACTTGAATTGGCAGCAAACACGGGAAGCACTGGACGACGTCCGCTGTCCCGCCTGAGGAAACTCCCGAGATGCCTTGCCGGATTCCTGTGTAGGGAAGAGTAAGTATTTAATGTGCAGGCAACTGCTCATTCCACTGTAAAACACCCACCCAGTCGTACCAGCACAGTGTCGGAACATCGATGAAGCTCCGCTCCGGCCCTCCTTGCAACCACCACACTCCTCTACGCGCTGGCCGCGACCGCGCTCTACCCCCCGCCGTTCCCGCCCCAGCGCCGCCCCCCGCGCGGGCTCAACGGAGCTGCACCTGGCGCGCACCCGAGTGAGGGCATATAATCGTTGTGACGGGGGATACGACTCGGAGGGCTCACGGACTGTCCAGCCAGCGCAGACGAGCCCATCCTGCCGCGCGCTGCAGCTTCAAGTTGAGAATCCGGGAATCGAGAAGCCGCCTCAGAAGCGTAGATAGAATAGCCCTGTTCACGTGGAACGTCGATGTCGTCTAGTGAGCCCCAGTGTGTGTGTCGAGGCACGACCGATACTGGGAGCCTCGCTCCAGCGCGCACAGTGAGATGCACTGAAGTTTACGGACCGCCGGCGTGCGTAGATGGTGGTCAGAGGCAACGAACATTACTATTACCCCGGCACACCGGGCTGCCGGATAGGTGGGTGTCGTCAGCAGGTTTGTTTGACTTTTGATCGCATCGAAACGCGTGACGTCGGTGACTCGGCTCTGACGTGGCGCTCATGTCGAATCCGGTCGCTTCGTCAACCCAGCAAAACCAGAAGCATCAGGCACTGAAGATTCATCCGGACTCTCTGCCAAGATCCGCGGCAACTGCTTATAAGTATATTCAAGTATATTCAAGGCAAGTCATTTCACGAAGCATTCTTCACAGAATATACTAACGATACGGGTATGATCTCGCAGAAGTAAATCTTCAAATACTTTGCCTCGGTACACAGCGGCGCCATTGCCACGCAGTCCGTTCTCCTGACTCGGACCCGATCGACGAGGAGCCTGTGCCAATAAGGGGGGCGACAACAGCTCGATGAGGGGCAGAAATGAGATGGAGGGGCCTAAATGCGGTGCGCACTTCCATTCACTCTATTGGGCCGCTTTAAAACCTTGCGCAGATGCGTAGCTTTGCCCATCTGAATGGCCGACACCGACACTCTCCTTCCCCTGTCCACCCGCAAAGCGTCTTTGGACGCTACGCCCGATGATGTCCAATTCTCCTCTGACAACGGCGACTACAGACCCGTCTGGACCCTCGCGGACGTCGCTCCTGTCGTGCTCAGAACCCTGTTTGGCGTGCTCCCCACGTTCCTGGCCTTCTGTTTGCTTACCTCCCCTTCCATTCCCTCCCCGACGCCGCCGCTGCGGGTCTCCGGCCTCCGCGTTGGCCCGAACTTCGTCTCCGCCGTCATCGCCATGTACATCCTGACCCCGCTCTGGTCGCTCCGTGCTGCACACCCGCCGCGCGTGCACATCACACAGTACTGCCTACTGTGGCTCCGTCTGCTCTTCCTCTCGATTGTGTTCTGCCTAGACCCCACCGAGAAGGTCACAGAGAACATATTCTTGCAGCTCGGCGTCTTCGAGTTCTTCTGCGGTGCGTATCGGGTCCCGTTTCATCATATAAGCACCGGGGACTTAGACAATTTCAGCATCCTGTGCGAATTCGCTAGCCATACTCAGCCCAGGAGTCGACGACGGCACGCCCAAGCACGTGCGGGAACATCGTCTCGTCCGTTCGGGGCTCACGACGTTCCTCATCAGCCCCGCGTACTTCTGGGCATTAAAGCTCCTGGTGCTGTTTTACACGGCCGCCCCTGGCCATGGCCCGCCTGTGTCGGATTGGGCGGCCTGCGCAGTCCTAGCGATTATGGCGGTGGTATTGCCGGTGTTAATGTGGGTGGATCACTCGGCACTGGCGGCAGTGCCAGCAACAGAAAAAGACGTTGTTGCAGATGTGTAATCATATGATAAGTAACGATTGTTAATTATTGAGTTGTAAATAGATGTTACCAGTTGCTTCCAATGAACATCAGGATGTGGAGTATGCCGCAACTTGAAATTATGGACGCCAGCACATGTAATATACACTGTTCCAGCTCAAACTTGACGGCTATCACCAGTCTGATGAGGAACAAAATGGTGTACATTGCAAACAGCGCACACTAACTCATAGCCAACCACATCCCTTAGCGCCGGGCCCTACATCTCAGATTTCATTGCTATAAACTTGAAACTTTGAGCTCTGGTCTGTCCTTCGTGGCATGTGCTGTTTCAATCAGTTTGCTCAGACTCCAGAGTGGTCATGTCGGATGGACAGAAAAGCGATGGGTGAGATGAGGATCATATCTAAAAGCACGGATAACATGATATGATCATATCATCTTGAACTGGGACTGTTGAAAACTGTCACTCAGGCTGTCACTCACAACTGGAATTACATGTAATCACTTCAAGGTGAACAACAAGCGCTGGGCGGCTGTCAGCTGCCACCAAGGATCAGACAAAAGCACCTGCAATCTGTCATGAGGATAGACTTTTCTCCAATCATTGTGATAGAAGTGTACATGTTGCGCCCACTGATCAACGAGTGACAAACTTTAAAACAGATAGGGGACATTCCAACGACGGACAAAAGGCATAAAGGCCTGCTCCAGTTGTTTGACTCTACCTCTCTGGATTACCATGTCCCTCATGCATATCCTCCTTCCTGTTGCACTAGCCATGCTTGCAAAGCTGCTTGGCTTCATCGTCAATGAACTTAATCACAGAAAGTTCTTTGAAAATATCCGCGGACCAAACTCCTCATCGTGGCTATTTGGTCAAAAATATTTCACATTTTCTTCCTGAGATTAATTTTTCTAAATTCACCCCAGGGAATTTGATTGAGCTATATCACTCTATGTCTTTTGAAGCAACAGAACATACTTGGAGAGAGGCCTATGGCAGTTTATACCATATCAAGGGCTGGCTTGGGGTAAGTCACAAATGAGTCTAGTTTAAAGCTTACTTACAGTATGTACAACTTAGTATCCAATATTGATGGTCTCAGACCCTGTGGCCCTGCAACATATCTTGAGCAGCCCCAACTTTGATCATGCCCCTGCCTACCAGACCATGCTTGAGTGTGGCTTCAGCCCCAAATTCATTACAATATTAAATGGTGGGTTTCACATATCATAACTCAATATAATATATATTATATTGTTTTTAATAGGTCAGGAGCACCGTGCTGTTCGGACCTTATTATCTGCTGGATTTGGAACCACTGCTGTCCAAGCATATACCGCACATTTTCAACAGCTTGCTGAAAGAGTAGGATATATCAGAAATTTATTTATTTTTAGTGCTGATACAAGTTCAGCTCACAGGAGATATGGAGGAACTCCTGCTATATTCAGATTCTTCTACTATTGATATCATGCCACTGTTGCAGCAGGCCACTCTGAAGGCTATTCTAGATGGTGAGCAGTTAATTCTGATGCAAATGCACTGATGTATATAGTTCAATCAGCTGCATTTGGCTGTGGAGAAGAAGGCATCTCAGCAGAATCACTTCATGGCACAGAGCACTTTGTGTATGTTTTGATTCATTCCCCATAATTTTTGATTCCTTTTCTGATTATATCCTTTATAGTAGTCAGCTAGTATCAACTCAGTCAAAACTCCAACTTGCCATTGATGGACTGCTGAACATAGGCTTTCTGCCACCAGGGCTTATCACATTTCTGGCTAGATTTCCTCTAAATGGCATCATGAGCTTCTTGCACCAATATCGGGCCATGATGAAGCAAGATGGCTGGAACATAGTCAATACCAAGCTTGAAGCTTTCCAGAGAGGAATTCCAAGTGATGATGTCTATGGGAAAGTGCTTCATTCTATAATATCATGTAAGCCTATTCTAATCCATTAATTATGGGATTTATACTCATTATGGAAATAGCCAAGAAACCTAACATAAATAATCTGGTAGGTCAGTTGGCAGAGCAGACTGGTGCAATCATGGTTGCAGGCCAAGATACTACAGTATGTTCTTTCCCAGTGGATAGATATATACATTACATAAAATTTCAGGCAACCACCCTGGCATGGATTTTGGTGGAATTAGCATATAATCCACAGATCCAAGAATCCCTAAGACAAGAAATCAGCAGTGCAAGAAACACACCTTACAATCAGTATACTTTACTAAATGCAGTGATAAAGGTATCCCTTAGCTAATATTGTATTGTGTACTAAACATAATTTCAGGAGGGTCTTAGATTGTATCCAGTTCTTCCATTTGCACCCAAGATTGCAAAGATAGATACAGTCATCCATTGCACACCAGAACAAGATAATCTGGGTATTGGAAATAATGGACAGCTGCATGTTCATAAAGGCCAGCTTATCACCCTCTCAGTAATATCCTATCACAGGTCAGAAATACAACAAAAAAGTCATTATATTTCATATTATTCACATTTACCATTAGAGACAAGAGTTTGTGGGGGGCTGATGCAGAGCAGTTTAATCCTGGAAGATGGATCAAGGGGCAGGTCCCCAAAACTTCTGTTTCAGGACCATTTGGACATCTGTGAGTGACCAAAAGTAGTGAACGTCATACACAACATATCTCTCAGGCTTTCCTTTTCAACTGGTCCACATCATTGCTTAGGGTATGGTATTTTATCCTATATATATATCTATTACTGACACCCAGATGATTTAGATGGCGATTTGCGTAAGTTAAACATCCTTTTTTGATGTGAATAAGGACTAATCAACCTTATTTTATCAATAGCTTGCTTGAAATACAGGTTATTCTCTGTGAACTCATTACAAAGTTCCAGTTTTCAACTGCACAACACAATGCTGTCACTCCAAAACTTGCAAATACCCTGATACCAACAGATGAGCAAGGAAATAAAGCAGTCATGCTGACTGTAACCAGATTGATATAGATAATAGGTTATCATACCATTTTACTTCATTTATGTAGTAGATTCTACAGTTGTGATGCTCACTCTATGATATTATAAGTGAGTATTTTATGGTGGAATATATTAAAAAATCTGTAATCTGTAATGGCAACCTATAGGCTCCTATAAAAGTCCTAGCAGGGGAGAATCCAAAACAAGGGGGGGTTTCAGATCCAAATCACAAATATAAGGTCAGAGAGTCCTTTTTCAAACCTGCTGGACCCCCCTCCCCTTCCTGCTATATAGGGTAATACTTATGTTCCCATGATTTGCTTCAAACCCCAAGGGTCCGCCTACTAAGACTAAGAATGCCAACTATAGACTGCCTGTCTGACATGCCAAGGAGGTTGGTTACTGGATACAGAAGGCCTATGTAAGGAGGTTGGCTGCGGGATACAGAAGGCCTATGTGACATCACAGGCCTTATTCTAAGGGGACAGGATAGTCTTGATGGATTGGTGATAGTGCAGACAGTAGAGCACTGGGATAGTTGAGGGATGCATAAATCATCCTGTGCCTGAGGTGTGCTTAGAGGGTTAGTGATGGCCAGGTCTGGTTCAGGATTCCGGTTCGAACCCAAACTGGACCGGACTAAATGCGTGTTTAGCATTCAGGTTCACACGGCAGACAACATTAAGTCCTTTGGCTGATCGATGCTGTCCTTTTCCAGTCTGTAGGCTTTGTTGGGGCTTTGTTTAGACAAAGCATACTGCAATTATATTTATGTTTTATTTATCCCATTCAAATTGTACTCAAAAGCCACTTTGTGTCCATTGACACTCTTCATTAATAGGCAGAGGTGATGAGTCACAAGTCCGGGCCCCAGGTCCGCACACATGCCGAGAATTTTCCTTCTAGCCATGGTCCACCATGTTGCACACAGAGGATGACTGCCTCCATGGCCCTACTGCATACGAGATGCTCTCATGAAGCTGTTACTGTTCCAGCTGGGGATGGCCAAGCATGTGCGGGGAATGCTCAGTGATGGGACAGTTGTCGGTTATCAGGAGGTGTTGGGCCGCATCTACGGGTATCAGCGCGCTGCGGCCTGTGCGGGGGGATTGAGCTTTCGCCGGCTGCGGGAGACGGGTCCATCGTCCGAGTTAGTAATAGGGAGGCCGGAGGTATCTCGTTACAGGGTGACGACCAACGGCCAGCTCCGATCGCTTGTCGAGCAAATCAGGTCTCTGGCAAGGACTGATGCTCATTTTGGTATTTGGGGAGGACGCTATCAGCCAGACACACTGGGTATGACTGGTTGAGCAGGTGGGCACAACTATCCCCAGGCCTTCAGCGTCTGATTGCGAATCAGGCGCGAAGGTGTCAGCCCTGATACTTGGTGGCCAGATAGAGTCAAGCAGCGGCGAGGCGAGGCCGGGAGGAAGTCGGTGTGGGTCATTAGACCATTGCACTGGTGCCTCGGCTTACGCGTGCGGCTGGTAAGTGGGCCAAGAGGGTTCAAAATCCTTATCAGGCACATGGGGTAAGGGGGAGGGGGGGGGTCTCAGGGGGGTAAAAAAAAAACTTTTTGTATAGGAAGATTTGGGCCTTATATGGGTGTAAAGACACTGAAAATATAGTGTATACACTCCAATTTCTAGAGTTCACAACTCTCATACTTATATCTATATACTTTCAGGCCCATGAGCTTGGATAGCCCACTCTGTTATAGGTCCATGGACAGGGAATTGATGAGAGGTGAACATGTTGAAGAGTTGATATGGCCTGCCATGTGTGTTTGAAGGTTCCAGGTACATACATACATATACATATACACATACACATATTTCAAAATTTTTGCAAAAAAAAAAAATTCACAAAGATTGAATTTTTTATCCCACTTTTTGATCGCATCAGTGGTCACATGATGCGAATCGTGGGAACATATTCAGCATTCACGTTTGGCAAAATCCCGTTTTGAACCGAACCAGTGGTCTGGCGTTTGGCTGAAAAGGGCCAAGAACTGGACCAAACTGGACTTGGCCATCCCTTTCGAGAGTC